TACCTTCTCATACTCAGGGTTTTATTTCCCATATTGCAGATGGCACTGTGTATCATGGTTATTGCAAGAGTTGCTTCTATCCCGTTGTGGATGAGGAGTAAGCCTTGGGCAGGCTTCTTATGAATCCTTCTACATGCTTTTGTGGACCGTGATCGTATCTTGGCACTGTATCAAACTATGTTGGAAACTTTACTTTCGAACTTAATTGCTTCCGCTTTATCTATCAAACTCGGTTTGTAATAACTGGTTTCATACTCTGATGATGAAAATGTATCTGTGAATTTTATGTAATATGTGGCATGTATATTGAATCATGTACGATCTTGGTTGTTGTAAATCATTTATCGAGACCCGTCGTGGTACTCGACGGACTACCGGGTTTATATGGGTTCAAGTATGACAGTGCGACCGCTTGCGGGACGCCATTGTACTTGTACTCTTATAAATTGGTCAGTTCTGCGACACCGAGCCCCGCTCGACCGTCGGGAGGCCGCGCCCCAGAACCCTCGCCACCCTAGGGTGTGCCGCCGAGTGCCGCCGTGCGGAGAAGAGGGGGGTGCGACTCAGCTAGAGAGGGAGGTCCCGTCACCGCGTGGGGGAGAGGGAGGGGCGGCATGGAGGAGAGACGGAGGGGCTCGGAGGAGAGGGAGGTGCGGGCGTGGGGGAGGGTTGCACGCCACATGAAGCCGGGTGAGGAGCCCCAGCATCTATGCCCCTAGTTGAGTTTCGGTGATTAATGACAATACAAGATTACTATGTCTAACGTGTGTTTTGTAGAGGCAATTAAGTTAGGTCATGGTAATGGAGATCGATTGGGCAATCAAGGTAGTCATGCCCCTACGATGGAAATCATTTCGGTTTTCAAAGGATAGACGACAAGGTTAAGGATGGACTAGTTCTAAGTGTCAATTGGAGTTGGAGTGACACTTAGAGTAGTTTAGGACTTTGTTTTTCCTTTGGCCGTACTATTAAGGGGGGTATGGACGGATAGCTTGACCTAGGTGAGTCTAGTGAGTTAGGTGTGATGCACACTTGTTAAAACTAGCACTAGGTAGCTCCTAAATATGCCTAAGATCCATTGGAGCAAACTTCATTCACATATGATCGAGAGTTGGAAGTGAACGGAGGGTCAAATACTGACCGGACGCTGGTTCTGGGTTGACCGGACGCTGGCGCAGAGCCCGATCAGTTCATTTGACCAAGGTGATTGTGTCTGGTTTGACCGGACACTGAGAGGTCAAGTGACCGGACGCTGAGAGGCAGCGTCCGGTCGACTCCAGTAAGGTTCCAGGAGAGGAAAAATCACGACCGGACGCGTTCGGTCAGTGCTGATCGGACGCTGCCCAGCGTCCGGTCACACTGTAAACACTGGAGTTCGGGGTATACTGACCGAAGCGTCTGGTCAACATGACCGGAGCGTCCGGTCACCCCACAGAGGCACATAACGGTTCGTTTTCAGCCCTTATTATAAATACCACATCCACTCGTGTGTGGGGGTACTTTTGCTCATTCCAACAGCTGAGAAACACGTTTGAGAGTGCTAAGAAAAGCAAGGTACTAGTGAGGTGATTGAGATTTGAGAATCCCAAAGAGAGCCCTTATTACTGAGATCAAGAGTAGCAAAGTGTGCATCCACCCATCTCATTAGGCTTGTTGTGGTCAAGTGAGAGTTCGTGCTTGTTACTCTTGGTGATCGCCATCACCTAGACGGCTTGGTGGTGATTGGGAGCTTGGTGATCATCCAGAGAGCTTGTGGATGACCCAACTCACATTGTGAGCGGTTGTGGGTGATTCACCGCGACGGAGTGTCGAAGAATCAACCCGTGGAGAGCACTTGATCCTTGCGCGGATCAAGGGGGAGTTACACCCTTGCACAGGTGCTCCAACGAGGACTAGTGGGGAGTGGCGACTCTCCGATACCTCGGCAAAACATCACCGCGTTTCCTCTCCTCTCTATTTACTTTGAGCATTTACTTTGAACATTTATTTTGAGCAATTTAATTCTTGTTCTTACATTCATAGAATTGCCATGCTAGAGTAGGATTAGAACTTAGGTTGCAAGTATTTTGTGCGTTAGTTCAATAGAAACACTTTCTAGGCACAAGAGGTTAATTGGGCTAACCGTAGGACTTAATTATTGCAAAAAAATTTATAATTAGCCCAATTCACCTCCCCTCTTGGGCATCTTGATCTTTTCAGAGCCGCGGCCATCGGCACAACAAGCGAGGGAGAGAGAGAGGGAGAGCGAGGGAGAGAGAGAGGGAGTCGAGACAGAGAGAGAAAGAGAAGAGGGCGGTAGATATTTTGGATGGGTGTACGTGGGGTATTTGTAAGGGCGGCTCAATCACCAGCCGTCCATACAAATAGAAACATCGGGGGCGGTTGGTGAGTGAGCCGCCCCTACAAATCCTACCCATTTGTTGGGGCGGCTCGTATCATCAGCCGCCCCTACTGTTTCATTTGTAGGGGCGGCTAGTCTCGTGGATCCCGAGCACGTCACTGTAGGGGCGGCTCCATCACCAACCGCCCCTAAAAATATTTATCCCGTTGCTATAAACCGTTTTTCACGTAGTGCGGAGAGAGTGGCGGCATCTCTGGCACGACCACGTACCTAGCGAGTGGCCGTGGTAGTTCGAACGATTCGCTGGTGGCCGGATCCTGACGGCGCAGCTGCGCACATCGAGCAGGCAAAGCAGGCCGCCGCAGGCTCCAATCATGTCAACCGATCTACCCGCCGTGAACTTGGCCGTGGCGGCCCACTGCTCGTCGAGCATGCGCGTGAGGGGGAAGACGACCAAGGACCGGGAAGGAGGATACGCACGACGTGGAGTGCGCTTAACTTTAGGCGGGTTTGGGAAGTTTTTCTCAAGTAGTCAAAGTGTATCAGGATCATGGATTGAGAATTGTTGGAGAGAGGTTTTTTCTAATCTTGTAAAAAAAAGGATTGTGAGGAGATTTAGATACTCTCCGAGAATAAACGATACAGTTGTCAATCCAAGAATTTTAGCAAGATTGAAAAAAACTCATCTCTAACAACTCCCAATCTTTTGGCACTTGGAAAAACCATTCCCATGCGCGTAAAGTTACGCGCGCGTATCTTCGTGCCAATCAGGAGGTGGAAGGATATAGGGAAGAAAACAAAATGGACAGGGTTCTTGATGCAAATGTACGAGAGAGAAATAAAGTATAAAAATGGTTAGTGTGATTTAGAAATAATTTAGGATTTCTAATATAAAATTATCTTCTGTTGGAGCAATAGTATAAAAAATTACTCCCAAAAACACGTTTTCCAACCTTTGCAAAATATATTGGGAGACATAAAAAACCTACAACTCCAACAGTTTTTAAAATCTCGGACCTAAAAGATAGAAGGTAATTTTACATCAGGAATCCTACACTATTTTTAAATCACATTAACCACTTTTATACTTTATTTCTCTCTTGTACATTTGCACCAGGAACCCTATCCTACTTTTTTTTTCTTCCCCACGCCCTTCCGTCTCAGATTGGGGCAACGATACGTGTGTGTAACTTTACACGCGTGAGGATGGTTTTTTTTTCAAGTGCCAAAAGATTGGGAGGTGGGTTTGAGAGTTGTTGGAGATGAGTCTTTTTTATCTTGCCAAAATTCCTAGATGTGCTCTTAGACGCGAGACTTTAGGAACTGTTGGAGCTGTAGCTTTTTTATATCTCCCAATATATTTTGTAAAGGTTGGAAAAAACCTATTTTTAAGAGTATTTTTTACATACCGTTGGAGATGATCTAACATGTCACCCTGAAAAACGGATCCAGCACAGTACAAGACCGTTTGCCCTCCCTCCCCAGGCGCTAACAGAGAGAGCGCCGCAGCTCTCAATGCATGTGGCATCGAACTCGCGGTGGGAAGCACTCCAACAATGAACCAAACAAGTAGCGTATTTTGTTCCTCTATAACAGCATCTCCAAAAGTTCACAATAAAGCCTCCCAATCTAGGGTTTTTGATAAAAATAGAAAAAAACTATATCCAAGAGTTCTCAATCCCACATCCCAATCATTTGGCACTTGAAAAAAAATCGCCGAAAGCGGACATATCCGCGCGTGGAAGACACGCGGATCGGTCTTCCAATCTAAGATAGAGGGCGTGAAAAAAAATAAAGAGTAAGAAATGGCTTTTGATGTAAATGCACAATAGAGAAATAATATATAAAAGTGGTTAGGATAATTTAGAAATAGTATAGAATTTCTGATGAAAATCGTCTTCTATATTTTAGGAGTGAATTATTGGAAATTATTGGAGATAATTTTATTTATTTCTCCTAATATTTTTGGCGAGGTAGAAAACTCTACTGTTTTACGAAGAAATTTTTAGGAACTCGATGCTCTAACAGTTAGCGCCGGCAGGTGATCCCATTACCATTCCCTCACGTAACACTGAACCAAACAGGAACAGAACCGGAGCCGTCGGAGCCGACTGCCGAAACCATGCCAAACATGCCCAACTCCCAGCGAACAAAATGAGTCACAGACACAGCCACCCCCGCTCCTGGGCTCCTGGCCCAACCTCGCGTCCTCGCCGTGGCCCAACTAGTTGGCATCGGTGTCCCCCCGCCCCCACCACTCGGCAACTCCCGCTCACACAGACCGGAGCGTGGCGGCGGGCCGGCGGCGCAGTGCTATCTCCTCCGCGGCTCTGCGCGCAGTCGTGGCGGCGGCGGCGTGCGTCCCTGCTGCGAGCTTCATCGCCCCGTGTCAGGCTAGCTTAGGCTGACAGTGGGCCACAACGTCAGCCGCACGACCCGGAACTCCGACAATCCTCACGGCTCGCGCAGCCCTCTCCCGCTCCCATGGATCCACCGCAAGAGTCGGCCGCCGCCGGCCGCAAGCGGCGCCGGCGAGGAGGCGTCCGGAATCGCAAAAGCTTTCCTCGCAGAGGGGCTTCCTCCAGCGGCTGCGCCCCCAACGCCGTCGTCCCCACCGGTCAAGCGGCGGCGCAAGGACATCGCTGGCCAGGCCGCCGCCATGCCGAAGAGAGGCAACACCTCGAGCCTACTGGACAAGGTAGTCTATCTTACCCGGATGACCGGATTGGAGGGAGTGTTCAGTGGTGCAGTAGAGGGTTTGGGTTGCAAACTATATCGAATCCCTCGGCTGCTTATTGGGGACAACAAAAATCTGTGTATGTGCGACGCCAGTGTTAACAAGTGTGCTTTGTGTGATGATTACTGTATTAGTGTTTTTATATAGTACATGACGGGCAGTTCTGTGATATTGAGCTGGTAGTCCTTTTGCATCTCTGATTATGACAAGCTGCAGGGAAAAAAGGCATAGCTAAATGAAGGAAAGCCCCTAGTTCTGTGCATTGCTGTATCTTAGTGCATTGCTCCAGTTCGCACAAAAAAATAACAGTTGTTGTTCATTTGGTTCTACTTGATAAATTTAGCACTGTGAATTCTTGATGGTAGGAGTTGTAAACACTTAAACCTGACCGCATATATATTGCTTCATTATAGAGTTTATCCCTGTTTCATACTTTAATTGTTTTCTGTGAACTAACTAATCTGTTAATCTGTTTGTTGTTTGGTGACATCTTAGATGCGTGCAAGGTTATCTGGTGGCCATTTCAGAATGTTAAACGAGAAGCTATACACCTGCAGGTTCGCATTCTACACATCACACTTGTTTTTGGTTGATTTTTTATGTCTTGAATGGCTTGAACGCTATACTTTCTGTGATTGCATATGACAATCGTTAGACAATACATACATGGTTGTCTTGTTAGCTCTTATTCTCTACAAATGCTGATAATTCATGATAGTGATATTGTGTCTCATTACCTCCTACTTTCTGTGATTTGCTAATGCTAACAATTTCCCCATATGACTTTATATGCTGGTTGCCTTATCATTAGTAAAGCATACTGTACTGAATTACTAAAGGTCTGTTAGACCTTGGAATCCATAGACAGCAGAGCTTCACTTATCACGTTTCATTCACATTTTCACATATATATTCTTTATCTTTCTCAGTGGAGAGGATGCGTTTGACTACTTCAAAAATGACCCTAATCTTTTTGATGTGGTACGTTATTATTTTATTCTTCTTGCTTTAATACTAGTATCTGTCTCAAAAATTTATTGCTGTGATTATTATGCAAAAAAGGATTCATTCAAGCAACTAATTAACCATGAGGTTACATGCTTGAATTCACGTTTCTCTCTTAGTATCATACAGGATATCAAGAGCAGATGTCACACTGGCCTGAACAGCCAGTGAATGTAATAATCAATTGGTTGAAGAGTCACAATGCATCATGGACTGTTGCTGATTTTGGCTGTGGTAAGATTAATCTTACTGTTCTGTAGCTGATGCTTCTTGCAAGTTTCCTCCTTTTTACATCTTTTTATTTACCTGGCACAATTATGAGAATACTATTCATATTTCCCACGCAATGCCGCAGTTGCAAAAAATGTGAAGAACAAGGTTTTCTCCATTGATCTTGTTTCAGATGATCCTTCAGTGATTGCTTGTGATATGGCTCATGTAAGCACTGGCTGCAAGCTGCATAATACCTTTCTTATGCTTTGCACTGTTAGCTATCTGTCCTTTATGTTAGTTTGCTAAACGTTTTCCTGGTGGTTCTTTGCCATCCTTGTGGTTGGTTTTTGCATAATTCTTGGTAATGGTTGAGAACAACATCACGGGGGTTTGTTGCATGAGCAAGAATGGTCCATATTTTGACAATATTTTTGTACAAGACCATTTCAGCGCTACTTATTTTTTACGAACCTGCAGAGTTGCAGTTGAACAGTTTATCTACCATTGTACTATGTTTTTACATGGATAAAGAATTTCTAGAACTATATTTCCTTGATGTTAATATTCGATTTTATTTTCGGTAAAAGTTAGCTTAATTGAATATTTAGTTTTGATGGATGAGTTGAAGGTAACATAACTAAGATAATGTAGTTTCTTTGAGGTGATGTGCATCGATTAAGCAAAAACTTTGTTTTATGTATTCTTTAATGACATAATTGCATCAGTGTCGCATTCACTAACTTATAGGAAATTGAAGTGTCAGATGACCCAGTTAGAACGATAGATCACTTGTTGTTTGTTGATGAGCCTTCGCTTCATCAAATGAGTTCCTATGATTCTTATGCCCCCCCCTCTCTCTCTAAAAAAAAAGATTGATCTGTAACAACATCCAATATTCCGTCATCATCCTAGCGTTGAATTAATTTTAAGACATATGACTTCTCTATTCGAAGAGACTGTCCAAAGAGATCTCCTGTTCTTCTGCCTTTTTTCCAGGATGAACACATAGGAGTAGTCAAACTGAATAAAATGGGCACTGAATCTTTGACTACTATGCAAATAATTAATTGAACTAAACTTCTTCCTTCTTTTTTTTGGTGTCTCTGCAGACTCCATTGGAGCCATCCTCTATAGATGTTGCAATATTTTGTCTTTCTTTGATGGGAATCAACTATCCAAGTTACTTAGAGGAAGCAAATAGGGTTCTCAAGCCAAGGTTTGCTTAACCTTTAGCTTCTGCAACTCTTACTGCAAAGGGCTACTTCTTGTTCTCTTTACTTATAGATTTGTTTATGCAGTGGTTGGCTTGTTATTGCTGAAGTGCGAAGTAGGCTAGACCCGAACAATGGGGGTGCTGATCCTGAAAAGTTTTCTAAAGCCATTATCCAGCTTGGCTTTTCGCTTGTTTCAAAGGTTTGTATGTTTTTTCACCTGAGTTCTTAATTTGATATATTTTTATGAAGTACTTGTATATACAATAAGCGCCTGCAAGTACTGAAACATGTGGTGCTAACTAGCATTGGTTCTCTATGGACCCAATCAATCTACTTTCCAGTCTCCAGAATTGTATATGGAAGATCGACCATATGGCCTTGTTGTGGATGCCTTCCTGGGCCCACAATATCAGCGACGCAAGAAGCACATCGGCAAGCATTAGGCATGTTTAGAGCATCTCTAAGAGTCTTTCTTAAACTCACTCTCTAAATCATCATTTGGAGAGCCATTTGAATAAAAATAGCTCTCTATATCTTTTCACCCTCCAACTTGTCTATATCTTGTAAGCACTATAGAGAGCCAGCCCTGCTCTCCATTTTTAGCTAGCAAGAAATCCAGAATAAAGGATAGCTTTATTTGGAGATCTAATTAAAGAAGCTGTGGAGGGTATTTTCCACCAAAATCTCTATTCCTATCAATTAGGTAGGATATAAAGAGGTTCTTTGAGTTGCTCTTAGAGATAGAGTTGGATTGGAAGTTAAGTTATCTAATTGTTAGGAGATTAGTTAGCCTTGGTTTACTAGGTTAGTTGAGATTGGTTGTAAAGCTTGAATATGTTTTAATGGCCTAATGGGGCAACCTTATATATATGAAGGGTAGCTGATCAGGAAAATCAAACAAGAGTTAATTTATTTGACATAATTCTCCAGGGCCTCCTTGAGAGGACAAACACGCTCCGCCTCTTGCTGCAACGTATATAAGAATCATTCATGGCCTGATAAAAGAGCACATCAAATGCTTGCCTGTGAATTTCTTCGATTTGATATTTTGGTTCACTTGCAGAGTTTCAGTTTTTTGGCTGAAAATTAATATATCTTGCATGCATGATCCATTCCATTCATTGTTTTCTCCTGGTTTATTTTTTGTTATGGTTTGTGTGGTGTCTAACACAAGATAGCGTGTGTGGTGTGCAGTAAATACCATATGACAGGCACAACTATATTGTATCATCACGGTTCACAGACATTATATCCTGTAGAATGAAAATAGCTGGGTTACCTAAATATAGGTGGCTCCAATGTACTGAGTAATATTAGATTACGACTCTGAGAGCTTTGCTCGTTGCATCCTTGCAATACACCTGAGAACTGATCAGTTTGTTAACTACTATTTGGAGTTGGTATGCAATGCTGGTTTGTGAAGCATTTGCATTGATTTGCGATTGCCCTGTTTTACATGTGAACCTCTGTAATGGACTAGAAGTTTGTTCAATCCCTTTCATCCTAGCACCTTCATAATTTCTGATATACAGTGCATTTTTTTATTGATGAAAAATAACACTTCATTTGCTTGATAATATATGATTCTGATGATACTTTCTAATTGGCTGTTGGTATCATTTCTGCAGGATGTGAAAAATAAAATGTTCATTCTGTTCTACTTCAGGAAAAAGGTTAGTTTCACTCTTTGCTACCTTAACTACCTAGACCACTTGCCCTTCATGCTGAATTCAGTGGCTTACCATGCCCCTGCAGGAAAAAAGCAAGGTGGCAAAGAGCATCGATTGGCCCCAGCTGAAACCGTGCTTGTACAAACGGCGATGAGCCGATTGTCTCATATCCACTAGTAATACTGTAGTTGTAGTAGAGCTGTTTAAAAGTTTCGTCAAACTGAAGTGTGAATCTAGATTAGGTCCCTCCGTACCTGTATGGCTGCATCTGTATGCCAGGCTATTCCATTATTTTCCACATTAGCTGCGTCTTTCATGTATTGGACCTCACAAGAAAAGATTAGGGGACGATGCATTGTATGGAAGCAGATAATGTATAATTCAAGTCTCTGTTTCACATGCTGCAAATTTTGTGTATGGTCCAGCGAACGAACATCTGGACCGTTTTCATTTTTGAAAAAAGAAGTGCTTCGGAGTTTCTAGGATTCAGCCCAAATTTGAACTGAAGCCCCGGGGCCGCGATCAAGCTTTTATAGTCCAGGACAGATGAGGCTAGTGCCTTTTTGGCACGGCTCCGGCATCGGCTTTTGTAATGACAGGACTAAACGAGTCAGCTGGTTGCCTTTTATTTTTTTAATTACACAGTACAATGTAGACGTTAGCAACGCACGCACACCCACTCTCTGTAAATCCACGCATGCAAACCCTACTACTAAAGCATAAAACCGTTAAATTCTGAAATATTTGCTCCCAAAAACAAAAAGTCCAACCAAACCACTAGCCGCAAACGCGTCCGATCGTCCGATTTCGTGTGGTCGTGCGAGCCGGCCCAGGCCACCTGCTGCCCGCCGAGGACGAGACGCTCCACGCTTCCTTCTCAACACGGGCCGCTCGTGCTCCTTCTACCAGGCCGCTTCGGTGCTTACTTACTCGAGGCCCACCGTTTCCGGTCCTCTTGGAGTTGGGCCTTCTTCCCACCTCCCGACCGGTCCGCCACGCAGTTCCAGTTTCGCCTCTCGTCGCCGGCCCCGGCGACCTCCGCCTCCTTGATCTCCCCCGACCAGCAGCTTCCCCACTCCCCAGCCTCGCACGCCCCCCTTCGCCGGCGCCATCATGGCGTTCGGCAGACGGAGCCCCGGGTCCTCGCGGCACCCTCCCGCGCTCACCATCGTCACGGCGCTACTCTTCGCCTTCCTCTCCTCCGCCGCGGCGGCGGCGTCATCGTCCACCGACGCGATGCACAACAACAACTGGGCCGTGCTCGTGTGCACCTCCCGCTTCTGGTGAGCCCTCTTCATCCTCCTCGTCGTCTGCCCCTGCCTGGCTGGCTGGGGATCCAAACCGGTTCTATCCTACTGGACTAGTATAGAATACTAAATCGTGCGCGGCTTATTAAAGTTGTATTGAATTCACGGCGCTGGTCAGAGAGCTTGTCCCGCGCTCATGTGACATCTAATTGGTGGCGGATCACACAAATGATACTGTGTATTAAGTAGTGTGTGGTTTTTGGATCCCTATCCCATAGAAAATGAATCCAAGCTCACATTTGCACGTACCAGTAGTTGCTTGCATGGATCATTGAATGATCTGGTTGGGGTGGAGCTGATAGTAAGAAAACACACAACAGCGAGAGAGAGCATCAGCTTCTCAAACTTCCAACTAAGAGCTCGTTTGGATCTCTGGAATCTGGTGGAAACAGAATCATATTGTTTGGGCAGTCTGTTTGGCTCTGTTTAGAACTAAAACAACAATTCCAATCAATTCAGTGAAGCCCACCAGACCAAGATAAGATTCATGGCTTGAAAAGTGGAAAGGCCAATTCCATTTTATTTACTCGCCTGCTGCTCCTGTCATTAGATGCATCTGACATGTTCCTTGTAACCAATAGACAACCACGAGTCCACGACGTTAAAGGAGCACGATTGAGCATGCCTGCTCGGCTGCTCAAAGATGCTGGAAAAGCATTCAAATTCAGTGGACCCAAATGGGCCATATAGTATTGGTTTACTGTTTTTGCTGCAATACCTGAGATTTATTACAAAAATCTAGAATGATTTGGCAGTTGTTCTCAACGAGGGATAATCCAACAACAGATCTGCCATTTTGTCGCAGGTTAAGAATAATCATGCTTCAAAAGTCAAGTGCTTTGAGCAACTATGTGAGTCAGTTGTGAAGTCACCAACCTAACAAGATTAAAAGTTCTTAAACAGAGTATTGATCGAGATAGATACAGTTTTGCATGTCTGTTCAGTTCTAGGTGACTTAATCGTGTTAGAGATATCTCCATTTTGGATGCCTGTCATGTTCTCATAGTCTAATCTAACAGTAGCATTCAGCTAGGTGGATAATGCTTTACGTTATTTGTTCATAACTCTTACTAATTATTATTGTTAATGTTCCCAGGTTTAATTATCGACACATGGCGAATACATTGTCCCTTTACAGGTATCATATTAATTTGGTTTCATGTGGAATTATTAATCCATTCTCTGTTTAGTGCCTACAGCTTATTCCATATTGTTGCCTTTTGTTTCCTTTCAGGACTGTTAAGAGATTAGGAATACCCGATGAGCGAATCATACTTATGTTGGCGGACGATATGGCCTGTAACCCTAGGAACAGCTATCCTGCCCAAGTTTTCAATAATGAGAACCACCAGCTAAATCTCTATGGTGACAATGTTGAGGTGAACCTCTGCATTCTGTAAATATTATTACTGAACCATAACATGTACGTAGTGTCTAAGAACACTACACAGTTCACCTCACAATCACTTAAGTGCACATAATGCTTGTCTGATCCGAGTGTTTGAAAACATTAGCAAATCATAATACTTTGAATTTTTGCTCTTTTTTACTTTCTATGACAGGTCGATTATCGAGGGTATGAGGTGACAGTTGAAAATTTCTTGAGAGTTTTGACTGGTCGACATGAAAGTGCTGTACCAAGATCGAAGCGTCTCCTTAGTGATGAAGGAAGTCATATACTTTTGTACATGACTGGACATGGTGGTGATGAATTTTTGAAGTTCCAAGATTCTGAAGAGCTTCAGAGCCATGACTTAGCAGATGCTGTGAAGCAAATGAAGGAGAAGCATAGGTGGTTTATTCTTTGTCAGTTTATTTTATTTTTTCTTCAGATTTTACTTTCCCATAGGTAAAATCAACGAATTTTCAAGAATCAAAATGCTTCCTTACCATCTTCAGCTTGCAATAGTTGGTTTTGACCTATTCTCTTTTATCTGTCTTTCAGATTTAAAGAGCTGCTGATAATGGTAGATACCTGCCAAGCTGCTACTCTCTTTTCGCAGGTTCGTTTCACTGGTAGAAATGCATCTCGTAATATGAATATGGGCCATGGCAATTTAGATCATATTACTGTAGGCTACTAGGTTTAGACAAGATGTGGCACAGATACACATTTTCTGTATGTAAATGCTATACCTATGTATGTAGCCATACCTGACATATTTAATATCTGCAGCTTCAATCACCTGGTGTTTTGGCGATTGGTAGTAGCATGAAGGGTGAAAACTCATATTCCCACCATCTTGATTCAGATGTGAGAACATCCTTTCCATTTACAGTTTTGACAGATACTCTCTATAACTTCATTTTGGCTTAAGTACTTTTCATCAAGCTGATCAATCTGATCTATTGTTGTGGCAGATAGGTGTTTCTGTTGTGGATAGGTTTACCTACTATACACTTGCTTTCTTTGAGAAACTGAACATGTATAGCAATGCCTCACTGAACAGGTACAAGTGTAAAACAAACTTTAAACAGTGTTGCTGATCTTGCATATTGATCCATAAGTGCTTTTTAGTGCTGTATTCCAAACTTAATGTTCTCACATGTTTTTTGTAAGATAAAACGTTTCCATGAGGAATGTGTTATGCCTCTTTTAGGTCTTATTGGGATGTGCATTGAATCCAAACGCTTGGCTCATTTTGCATTAAGATAAGATGTTGAGTCTGTTGTGCCATTTGAAGATTTGCATGTGGTATGATGTTAGCAGAAGGGATATGTCGGCACACTATCTTTGGTACCACATAAGAAATTGAAATCCACTGCTGGCAACTGGCAAATTTTATCAAATCTGCTATTCTGTGGTTACATTGGATCCTGTATTGTGGGACATAAGCATAGCATCTAATTTTTTACATCAAGCACGGCAAAATATGAAAATGGGCACTACAGGTCATAGACGGTATGCAACTCTTTACAATAACTTCTGAAAGAAGCCACCATAAACTGTCAAACAAATTACTGTTATTTTGTTTCTCAAACAGGCAGAAGAGCTGCCCGTCATTGTTCATTGTATTATGTACACAGTAGTAAAGATCAGCCCACCAATTACTATTCTTATTGCATGCTTGAACATTGTTTATGTTGATTTTACTTACCTTTGGGAATCTATCGTGAAATTCTGCTGCTAAACTTTGGTAACATTCAACTATGTTATGTTAGAAACAATGTATATGTTCATATTATATTTTGATAGCCTTCTCATTTCGTATGCTGCAGTCTTTTCACCTCATACAATCCTTCCATGCTGATGTCTACTGCGTATTATCGAATGGATCTTTATGAGCGGCCCTTAAATGAGGTAATGAGACAGTATATATTTCTGGATTCTAATTAACCACTCTTGTTCACACAAATCTTTTTCTCTTTATTTTCTGTCATTGATCAGGTGCCTGTCACAAATTTCTTTGGATCAGTCATGAAGACTCTCCACACAGATTCAGCCTACACAGGTTTCTTGGCTGCACATGACTATGAAACTCCCTTGTCCGTCGGAGATAATCTTGATGATCATTTCATGTTAAAGGACAGAGCTACCCCAAGAAGATCAAACATAGAAAAGGTGAATTCTAGTTTGAGTATGTTTTGAGAGAGCTAAAATAGTGGTGCTAGCGTCTATGCTTGCTTTTGGTACTCCAGAAAAGCAAATCTTGATCGAACCTATATTTGCCCAATGGATACAATCTGCTCATGGTAAGACGACATATGGGTTCGATATACTCTTATCTTCAACGAATGGCCCCGCTTTCAATGCAGGTCGAAACATATGGTTGCCCGGATGGTTGAATGCTGTTAATGAGAATAGTAATTCGCTTTTCTTAACAATAGGACCTGGGGATTTCTTGGTTCATCATGCTATTGCTCTAGGTTTGCATACAACTACATTGATTTTAGTAAAGGGTGCTTTAGATGCACGCGGTTCCAAATTAATGCCGGATAAAAAGGATTTCGGGGGTCTACTTGGTTGAATCATTGAGTATCCTAGACGGTCTTGTTCTAATTCTCTTATGCTATTATTGTTCTCCTTTCTATAGTTCTGATGACTGTCAAGCTTTGTCTCGAAAAAAGAAAGTTTTGAGATACTAATACTTTACAAATTGCAACACGCAGGAGGCACAATTAACGCCTCATGGATGGACTGAAGTTCTGCTTGAACAGCTGGAGGGAAAGAATACTGACACTGTTGTGATGTATGGTTTGGGAGCTATGGGTATATTGTTGGCACTTTCAACTTGGTTATCAATGTAGGCGCTAAAAACAGTTCTGTTCACACACACGCTATCCAGCCCCCCCCACCCCCTTCCCTGGCGCGTGCGGGAGACATCCAGACAACCAAAAAAAGAGAATATGCTTGGGAGGTTCTTTTGTTTTCTTTGTCTTGGTTTTAAAATTCATTAACGTCAATTAGAGTTCTCTAGAAATTGCTGTGTGTAGTTCTTTAGAAATTACTATGTTATTACTCTTGTAACATGATCTTTTGGGAATGATTTGTGCATCACATATCTCCATCAGTCTGGTTGTTTTGATAGCCATTTGAGTAGCTTGTCTCCTTGCAACTTTTGATATATTACTATATACATATCCAGGTCTTGGATGATAGAATAATAGTCCAATGTTTAATTTTCTGGAAGCTTGTTGCATGATGAGGTTTCCTAACAGGAAGACCAATCTGCATGCACATTATTAGCCCATATACGGGCAGATATCACGTCAATAGTCGAAGGACCATATACTGTATACTATCCATTTATATCATGGAAAAAGATCATTGTTACCACAGAAGTTTTTCTTCGTTGTGTTCCATTACCATACTGTAGTTCAGTTTAGTGCATTGCAGGATACATATAGCCATTTCTACTTTTGACATAACTTTGTTTAGTCCCATACAATACAAATTTACTACTTCTGTATGACGGTGTCAGCTCATAGCTAGGGTGCACAAGGAAGTGTGTTTAGCCAGACTTGCCCCAACCTGCCATGTTTTTTTTGTCCATTTTATGGTTTGTGGGGTAAACTGTAAGTGTAAGATTTTACAGTTGAGTTCACTGTTATTTGATGATATGATGCCATGTATTTTAAGTTCATGTATCAAGCCATGGTCCAATCATCCGATGGTGCTGCAACGCAGTTCTTCTGCCCTTTTGGAGCATTTGCCTTGTATTAGCAATTACTCCCTGCATTCCAAATTATAATACGTTTTGGCGTTTCTAGATTTATATGCCCTGTTCGCTTTGCTGAAAAACCATGTCTGAAAGTATTGTTCGCTGATTTATCGTGAGAGAAAAAACACTGTTCGTTCATTAAAACAGTACGGCTCATAAGACAAGCGAATAGGGCCATAGTTTTTTATATACGTTTAGGTATACGCTTATATGTCTAGATGTATAATAAAAACAATAGATCTAGAAAAACCAAAACATTATGCCATGCATTCATTACATTACGTTACATTCGACTCGTCGAGAGCGAAGAGGAGAGAAGAATGTGTCGCGGTCGTGATATTGCGGCCGGTGCATGGTCGTTTTCGGCGGAGAGAACGCATGATATCATCTATCAGCTACGGACAAACGTACGGTACGGTGACGTGTGCCTTGACGCTGACCCTATACCATAGTATCATGCGTCGTCGTCGTAGGAGGAGTACGTACGTGCTAGCGGCAAGCACGATGGCGACGGCGACGGCGACCCAAGTACCGAACCATGGAATTTAAACAACGGCGACACCCGATTTATTAGGAACAACGACGATCTAATTAAGCAAACGCTGCGCTTTGTGCCGTTCTCTCTCTTTCTCGACCAGTTCGTCCTCTCTGTCGTCTCTGATGAGAGTGAGACTGTGAGAGGGATGTATGTGCTTCCATCGGTCGTCTCTCATCTCTCTCTGTCTCTCTGTATCATCTGCATGCAATCAGCGTCGTCGATGGAACCGAGAAACCGGCCGGCCGGCACAAATTGAAGGACCTATTAGCTAGCTAGCTCATAGTTTGTTAGGAGTACATCGGATTCGATCTCTCATCTACTATTACGTAGTAGGAGTAGTACTCTCTCTCTAGTACGTGACGGCCATCGCCTACGCTGTGACAGACAAGGACGGACTAACCATGCATGCTTCATTGCTTAATGTAACGGCCGGTGTCTATATATATTATATTATTTAATTAATCAGTGAAACAAAATGCGTACGTACGTCTGTCATGTACTCTTGTCGTCTTATTAGCTAGGTACGTAAGACGGCGTTTTCACGTTGTCTCACCCCGCCGGAAATAATGGACAGCTGAGATCCATCGTCTAGCGACCGCTCTACACCTCTCTACTCGATCGTCCATGGATGCCTTCCATCCATCTCGATGATTCCTATGCATGTGGCATTCAGTCTAGCACAGTGACTCGTCCGATCCACAGCTACTACCTTCGTCTGTGTGTCCAACTGTCGACGCAGAGCCCTAACGACATCGATCCATCGGTTTCTTGCCTCCGCAAACTTTTGTTGCATTTTCTGCCGTTTGGTGAAAACCTAAGGAAAATGGGTGCGGATATATATATATATATATATATATATATATATATATATATATATATATATATATATATATATATATATATATATATATATATATATATATATATATGGGAAATGAATGAACATTATTCGTGCACAATGTTCGTGTTCTTTTTGCATGCAAGACGTTGGACATATTGCAACTTTTCCGGCCTTTTTGGGCTGCCCAACGAGAAATATGCATGGTCCGATCAACAGGCCATTTTGGGCCCTGCTTATTTGCTGCCCACACTGGCACACTTCTTGCTGACTTGCGAATAATAGTTTATGAATTAGAGACTGATATATAGACATAGATGTGTACACTGAATTTACAGGGTTCAATCTTTTTATTAGGTGCGTGATGTTGATATAAGCTTGATTACCATATATGTGTTTGATCTAGCTTTGCAATATATATAGCTGCGACTTAACAAACACTTAATGCCTACTACACTGCATGTTAGTTGCCAAATAAAGAGGTCGACGTCCGGTCCGATCACAACGAAATCATCATGCTCTGAGGCGCGAGTGTAAGTTTAATTAGGGATTGTTTGTATAGAAGAGGTCTACAAATTAGTTCATTTTAAATTTCGACTCTAATCCATACATATGTACTAGACGGTGGGAGTAGTTTTCTTTACTATTATAGGAGAAAAGGCTAATAAGCTTTTGGAAAGGACAGTGTTAACCCGTGATCTTCCTCCTCGCAATGGCCCTTCCTCCCCCATCCCCGCCTCCTCCCCCGCCATCCCCGGCAGCGGCAACCTCGCCGCTAGACGCGCCGCCCACCTCCTGCCCCCGCCCTCTCGACCCTGCCCTTCTGCTAGTCCTTGCCCCAACTGCCCCGCCGCGGTAGGGTCCGGCGAGACCCTGCCACGCCTGTGGCCCTCCTTCCTCCCCCCTCCCCCGCCCCGACCTGGCCTGGCTGCCTCCACTGTCGTTGGAACCCCAACGTCACCCTCCCGTCGTCTCCACCGCCTGGTCAGCCTGCCTCCTCCCCCGAACCCCCTTCTAAAGCCCGCCAGAGATGGAGAAGAAGAAAGGGAGAGTCGGAGAGAGAGGGCGCGGAACCCTAATACCGATGAGCTCGTCGTCTCCGTCTCCGACACTGGCGAGGTCCCCGGTGAGGGTGGGGTGGGCCGTGGGGGAGGGTCTACGTCGCGCGGTCATGCTCCGGCGCGACGGGTCGCGTGTTTGCTTTTCCCTTTTGGAAATTTATCCAAGCAACCCTTATCAAGTTATGTTACAACTTACAAGGGCCTACTCTACAAACCTGACATGCATGGAAATTACCACTGGCCAAACATGCACGTGTGCTCCCGAATCAAGTGGACACCAATGCAAAAAATACTACTATATAATCTGCGCGCACATGCCTGGCGCACACACCTGCAACGTTGGAACTGGCACGGCCGGCCGACCTGATTTTCCCGAATGCATGAAGATGTAGAGGAGAGAGATGGCGAGCGAGAGAGCAAGAGGAAACAGAGACCCATCGACCAAGGCCCGGGTTTGTTGTGGCGTGGTGGACTGGTGGGCTAGCTGTGGCGCCCCATGGCCTGGGTGTGAAATTCCAGGCTAGGGTTAGCACAAGGAATTGTTTGGGCTGATTGATAGGTCGATTTGCAAAAATGGGACTCGAAACATCGAGCGTTTGCAGATTTGACACTGGACCCACATTCATAGACAAAATATGGACCCACTTGTCAATCTTTCGAGTGTCATTTTTGTAATTTTTTCATGATATAGAGCTGATGGAGCAACTTTTACAAGGGCGCAAATTCACTTGGAACAATGCTGTGTCAGCTGCTAAGTTAGACAGATTCCTTTTTACAATAGACAGGGATTAAATGTTGTATACCCATGCTGTGACGACAGCCCCTTCCTAGATATGGTTCAGACCATGTTCCTTTGTTGCTGGAGTTAGATATGGTTCAGACCATGTTCCTTTGTTGCTGGAGTGTGAGACTGAACTGTTCAAAGGGGTTTTCAAGTTTGAAAGATCATGGTTTCAACAAGAAGACTTTATTCAGAGGATGGAGGTGGCATGCACTGTTGTTAAAAGGAGAATTAGGGAAGCCTTTTGAGTACATTTACAACAGATGAGAAAATGTTTTAGGGGTGGAGTGCAAATGTGAATAGAGAGATTAGGAGAACAAAGGAAGAATCGCTGGGCGCTAGGCGGTGCTGGCACCATCCACTCCACGCACGAGAAAGCTAGTACTATACGGTTGGAGTTGATCCCAGTGATTAAAGCTAGCTTTATTGCGCTGTCCCCAGATTTGTCCTTGCGGCCTCAGCTTTCCAAGGAAAGATAACAACAAAGTTAAAAACAGATGGCTAGAAAGATAGCTAGAAGGTTGCTAGGGCAAAACCGTGCAATTACGGCACAGCTGACCATATCCTACTTGCCCTTTTTTCTCCTTTCACCAAACCACGCTTTGATGCCCAGTTCAGATCTACTCATCTCCGCACAGAGAGTAGGACAACCCTACTGATGATCTCCACATAGGACCCATGAATGTAAAGACTGGAAAGTGACCAACTAATAGAGCTCGATCTTGTCAACACTTATAATCCATCTCCTGCAAGATGCCAGATTAGTAGACTACAAACCTTTTTTTTTGTGGCAAGCGTCAAAGCGTGTTATCCAGCATCTGTTCAACTTGTTCGCTGGTTGGTTTCTGGACTGATAAACCCGACTAGTGCTGGTTTGTTGTGAGAAAAAAATACTGTTAACTGACTGCTAAGCCCTAGCTGAAACCAATCAATCGAACATGCTTGTTATCGCTCCAGCCTCCGGGGATGGCCAGAGATACCATTAATGTCAACATTATCATGGACTGGACTACAACTACAAGTAACAGATTCCCAAGTTCCCAATGTTTTCCGACGCACTTTCTTTTTCTTATGATGATGCTGGAACTTATCTATAGTACTAGTATATACATATTCTACTGCACCATGCATGTCGGTTTGCCGCCTTGAGCGGATTAATTAATCTATACAAAATCCAAACACATATAAAATGAAGGAAAAAAAAGGACAACTCAAGACCACGCAGCTTCCGGTTCCTCGCTAAGGTCCATTGTTTTGCCGGAAATGATTTTTGGGAGCCCAGCTTAGTCATATATGGTCCCCAAAACAACTTATCTCTGTCCACTGCGCCAGGAAACATCAAACAAATTTCTAACGCGAGTGATGATTAAAAAAACATAATTCAGACTCCAAGATGTACCTCAGGTTACAGGAAACTGAGGAACAGATGTAACTGCTGCAAACATGCAAGGGCTTCAAATCAAATCCAAATACAGTACACTACATGCTCCTATTTTTTTTACTCTATATATACCAGCATTTTAAAGATACCTTTCCACAATGTGTGACAAAAGGGTGTACAGTAAGTACCAGACAGTGTCAGAGGACAAGATCTCACAGAACCTTCTTATGGTCCAGTGAGAAGTGATCGATCGAGTGACACATGCCCGTGGAGCCAGGCCGTAGATGTACTGCAGGTACCTGTTTCTCATTAATTGACTCAACAAGGGCAACGAACTTCATCAATTTAATTCACCTTTTCATTTCACACAACTTAACTTCTGTAGCAACGGGGGTGGTAGATTCAAAAAAAAAGAAGCAACGGGGGTGGTTGCTGGCTTGGTAAAATATGACCCACAGCTCACCGGTTTATTGCAGAATGCCGCTTCTTTTTGAATCACAAGAAGGCTAAGGCCTAATACCCCAGTCATACAAATGACTCTGCTTAGAGATAGGAGTGCATCACCACAATGAAATTTTCAAATTTACATACACTACAAGCACACCCGTTACAACTGATTCTTTTTTTTTTCTTTTCCGAAAAAACACGCCTGTGAAATAGAGTACGACATTCCAAAGTGTGACTTCCTAACTTATATTAGCAAGCAAGCATAAGTCAAAACCCATTAAGATACTTTAAACCCAAGCAATGCGTGCGAAATGATACTTCCAAACAAAATGGCAACAATTTTTCAGGAAAGCACCCAAACAGGAAAGTTGCAGGCTAGAGCGAACACAACATTTATTAGTGTGCAGAGTGGCAAACTGCAACCAAACATTTTCAGCAAAGACTCCACTCCAGCTCCCTTTCAAAGAACCCAAAATCACTCTGAATGTTTGGATACAGCAAAGGATCTAGTCTTATTATAGACATGTGTCAAGCTTATTGCTGAAGCAGACTACCATAAATCTATAGAGCTATCGTCTTATTAATATAGTTTCCTAGATTGACAAAAGAAAGCCAAGTTCAAGGAAAATGCAATTTTCTACAAATTAAAGCACATGAGTTGTTCAATGGAGAAGAGATGAAGTTAGGTATATAAAGATTACTATAGCCCAACGGTATACCCTTTTTCCAACCTGATTTCTATTGTGAAAATATTGCAAAGCCAAATGTAAAACATACTATCAAATTCTCCACTGAGCAACAATTCAGTCGACTCTTATATTATAACGGTGTCAGGAAAAAAAAACTATTATATTTCTTCACCGAACAAATATCGATCAACTGAACACACACCATCGTCATCACCAGCCTGTGCCTGCAATTCCAAGCAATTCCAGAGCTAACACCCCAGGACAAAGGCAACCTTGTCAATTCTCTTACAGATCGCACTGAAGAAATCACTCTAAACGCACAGTCTATATTCAGTTAAAGAACAATTCCTTGTAAATTTCAACATCCCATTACATATTTATTTATAGAGAACAAAATTGGGTGATGCAACACAATTAGAGATTCCAAATGAAGCAAAAGAATCTTGGCGTAATGTCGTTATCTAAAAAATACGCAGAAAATATTCCGACACCCTAAGTTTCAGCACAAGTCTTACCTATATGCTTTGTGGTGGTGTCCATGCGTCCAGTGGTACTCAACCATATGATTGGCCCCAGTAGCTCTGGAAAAGGAGATGAAGTTAATCCAAAACAGATGTACATTAACCCTACATAAACAACTACTAAGCAATCGACGACTATGTGGATCAACTTAGGGTTGCCCCACAAATAAATGTGGCAGCCATGGGTGTAGGTGAGAGTGTTTATTACCACTGTACTAGCAGGGAAGGTGGTTATGCTATACACACACACAGTTCACCGACAGCCCACACCTGCAGACACCATGTGGCCCCCCTTCAGTTGCCACTCCCCTGATTTCTCTCATCTTTTGCCCTGCACTCCTATCTCATAGTTTTATCCATTGACGCACGCTTGGTATACTGCTCTTGGCCCCAGCACACCCCTGCTCTCCAGTCAGTGTATGCCGCCTTCTCCACTCCCTTCCTCTCTGACAGGTATCTTACTACCTACGCAGCTAACCACATTTATCACTCACTGCAGAAGCAAGTACAGGCTGGGCAGTTTATATTCACTCAAACCAGTCCGTTCCTTCCCCACACGGCCACACACACTTCAGTTCATAGGCGCCCCAGCAGAGCTCATCTCTGCCTCGTGTGTCCTCCATGACAGAGAATCTCCACTCCAGGAAAATGGTACAGCCAAAGAAGTTTCGTGGAGTCCGGCAGCGCCACTGGGGTTCCTGGGTCTCCGAGATCAGGCATCCCCTCCTGTAAGGCCTTCTATCCCTATAATTTTTTGGGAAGAACATAAACTACTGGTGCGACCATAATTCTGAATTGCAATGCACGTATATTTTTGTGATGCGTCCAGTAAGAGGAGGGTCTGGCTGGGCACCTTCGAGACCGCTGAGGAGGCAGCGAGAGCATATGACGAGGCTGCCGTGCTGATGAGCGGCCGCAACGCCAAGACCAACTTCCCAGTCCAAAGGAGCAGCACAGGGGAGCCTACCCCAGCTGCAGGAAGGGACGCTCGCAGCAACGCCGGCAGTGGCTCCTCTACCGCCAACCTGTCCCAGATTCTCAGTGCGAAGCTCCGCAAATGCTGCAAGGCGCCATCGCCGTCCCTGACCTGTCTCCGCCTTGACCCTGAGAAGTCCCACATTGGTGTTTGGCAGAAGCGCGCAGGAGCCCGTGCTGACTCCAACTGGGTCATGACCGTGGAGCTCAACAAAGGTGCAGCATCCACTGATGCTGCATCACAGTCCACATCAGCAACACCTGCTCCACCAGCCATCCCGATGGATGACGAGGAGAGGATCGCCCTGCAAATGATCGAAGAGTTGCTGAGCAGCAGCAGCCCAGCTTCACCCTCGCACGGAGATGACCAAGGTCGCTTCATCATCTGAAAAAGCATCGATCAAACAGCACAAGTCACCATCCCAGATCGGAGTTTCGCTAGGCTGGTTGGTACACAAGCAGTTCAGGTTACTTCAGTAATATAGATATATATATGTCTATTACTAAATCCAACTTACAAGAACTATAAAGTTTGCAGTTGTGTGCAGTTCTATGTACTTGTGAAAAGCTCTACATACACATGTTCCTGTCAAGATACTTTGTTACACATCAATGTCAGTGATATAATTGCTTATAAAGGAAATAAATAGATTATGATTGTGTTACTGTTCATCCTTTGCTTGGATCCTGACGTCAAACTCAGTTGAGAAATCTCAATACAGTTCTTTATTTCTTCAAACGAAGAACCAAGGCTGAACAAATAAATCTCAAAACAGGATGAAGGTGATGTTTGTGAAAAGACCTTTGCTTTTATGATAGAATGGTTTGAAGGGCCATGCTCTATGAGATATCATCACTATGGCATACATGACAAACCAGCAAGTAGACAACACATTTCTTTAATCATATCAACTAAATCAGTCACTCTAGTGAAGTCAGTTATGCAGAAACGGGTAGAATTCAGTGAGAACAAGATGCAAATCATTTCACTAAAAAAAGGGTATCCATTAGAAACTCAAGGTTTGGCATTGGTTATCTGAAAACACACATTTTGGCACTTCTAACATCATCTCGCAGGCACAAGGAATGTGGTGTTTTTGGACGTCCAATTCCACATCACCAGGCACCACTGAACACTAATTGAGAATAGAACATTTAAAGATACCCTCTTCTGCCAATCTTGTATTAATGAATAGGTCATGCACTATGTTCAGCATCATGTAACCATCAAAAGCTCTACAATGAGGACGTAGAGATGCACTAGGGGTGAGAGCGATGAACCCAGCGTATGGACCATCAAGGTGTGCAACAAACACTTTAAAGGCCTTATGGTCATATTTCTCCTCATTAAATAAGCAAATGTAATGTATAGATAATTGATAATCATGATAGGCTACTACAGACAAATGTCATAATGACCAGCATAACAATTGCCATCAGACTAGGAACAATCAATATTCAGGTCTCAGAATTTTGGCATCTGGCTCCAGTATCCCATGGCGGGAATCAGAGTTACAATACCATGCCAGAATTGAGGTCTTCATGTATTGTTTCATCTTGAATGCATATGATCTTAAATTATTAATAATAGAAGATGAGGGGGTCTTTAAACCTTGATAAAATACAAAAAAAAAGATAATATAACAAGCCAATCTGTTAATCCACTGGAATTTTCACAACCTGTACAAGGACCCAGATTATTATTTTCGAGCATCAAAACATTACTAGAAATAGCCACAAGAAAGTCCCATCACATGTCATTATGACCTAAAAGGCAGCCATACAACTAGATACATTAGTGAAAATAACTGACATTGTGGTGATTCATCCACCACAGTGGTAGTAAACCCATGATCAGCAATCCTTGACATTTGCGTTTGGCTAGATGCTTTTAGTTAATTTTTCTTGTTCCCCCCTCCCTGTAAGTATGTAACCACCTTGTGTTTATATTTATAAAATCACTGTGGGGAACTCCCCTACAGTCTTTGGCGTTCAAAAAAAAGAACCCCTACCAACTTGTATCTTAGCAGGGATGCAAACATGACAATGGCAAGTCAAAAGAAAGGGTCAAGGTAGCCCTACATATGAGTGCAATAGATAACAAGTTAACAAAGAAAGACACAGCAAGTGTGCTATTTTCTCTTCCAGAACTCAAAGAGCAGACAGCCAAAAAAGCAATTATCAGCTCCATGGTTTGGATTTGGAGGTTGGTGCAAAGCATGCAGTCAATGCTAAGGGCCCAACCAGTTAGTTGGTCAGTCGCAACATACGATTGTATTAGAGAAGAATAAAACAGAAGGAAACTAGAGTCTCGCTATAGTTGATCCATACTGAGTTGTGTGTCATAATATAACTAAATAGCAACTTTGAGGCCTGAAGGTCTGTCATTTTGAGAGACTTTCTGGATAGCTACATAAAAGAGCTGAGTTATTTCAAGATAGTTAAGATGCTTGTTTTATATCTAGTCCTTGTCTACACTGTGAAGGTTTGAAAGGTAATGGACTATCTCCATTTTTGTTCCCACTTTTTTTTTCTACAACGGTCACGCCGAATTTCATTACCAGGGAGTAACAAAATTACAAGAGTTTAGTGAGACACAAAGCAGTTTGGACACTGAAACAAAAACGCCGTCACCTCCAAACACCAAGGATTCAGCCGATTAGGTACTGCTAACTGTGCAAAAGAAAATTGTCCCCACTACTTATGTTTATCTCAAACACATGTTTCATATGAAGTTATGTTTGATAATTTCAGTTCATTCATTGGGCACTAGCTGGTTCCCCTTAAAATTTCTTGTCTCCCATTACCACCATTGTTATCTCCTTGCAATCATCTTTCTCGCCACAACATTCGCTAAGGTAATATCTTAACAATGTGCATGTAGTATCAAATAACTCATTCTGTCATTGTGCTAGAACAAAACAGAAGAACGTGATCTTCGAGAAACAGAAATTACATATAGAGACATGTATCCTAGCTTGGTTTAGGTGAACTCATCTTTCAAAATTTAAGAAGATGGTATCTATGAATTGCTCATTAATCACTTATATAATCCAAACTGATCGAAATTAGTATGTGCACTGCATGGTATAAAGCTAATCAATAGACGATTTTATTCAAAAGAATTTGGTAGAAACATGCCGTGCATCCAGCACCAATAGTAGACTATAACACAGACAGTATGTGAAATTTGATGATCTGATCATAAAATTTAGAGGTATGACATGAACATCTCCAATTTTTCTGCTATTCTGTTTCTGTGCTCGATAATTTCTGGTACCACATTAGCTGGTTAAGGAACTTCTATGATGCAAAAGCATGCATTGAATATGTCCAGCAAGATAGCTGTAGTGGTCCCTTTCCTTTGCATCTATCCTATTCAAATAGACCAGTGATGTCATCTTAATTAAGATTGCAAAGCACATCATATTAACTTATTCACTTTGTGATGGTGTGGTCTTGTCAAACACTAGATCTACCCAGAGTGGTTTAAATAAAGATCAAATGTAGTACGTGTCAATTAATTAAACAGCATACCAAGGGTAAACATGGTAGAATGTTTCTGCAATTGTAAAGGGATATTTGTACATAGAAACTATAGCTTGTGGAACAGAAAATTATCGAATGTTGCAATAGTTAGAATGAATAATATGTTCTACCTGCTAATTTGTTATTCCACTGAATCTTTTTTTTTTGGTTGCACTCAAACTATTGCTAGTAACCTTTCCAAAAGCACGTGAATGTTCCTAAACCTTGAATCAGATATGCAGGGAGTGAACAGGATATGAATACAAAAGATAGTGATTCAACATTCACAGTAAGGAGTAAATTGGATGCAAAAAAAGGTTATAGAGTGTAGGGTTCAGCTATATTTTCCAGCATAGTTACTTCTCATCAAATTGTTATATTGTCAGATTCAGCACAGCATCTTTGGCTACCAATGAGCTGCGGACAGTTTACCAACCCATATACTAGACATCTGGTAAGGACAACCACTAGAGCGTAAGATCCAACCTGCCCCTTTGAGTAGGGATAGGTACCGCAGGTCCACAACATAGTGGTCCTGAAGTACTTTCTAATCTTTCTTGGTGTTATTTTGTTTATTCAGATCAGCATACACCTCACTATTCTTATGGAATTGTACATGGTAACATTCAACCAAAATCACAATAATACTTTCAGTTTTCAGTAATACAGCACTATTCCGATTTGAATCTCCCTTCGCCAATATAACTGAATGAAATAACTCAGGAGGTGAAAGAATATTCCAGTAGCCTACAAGATATAATAAAGCTAATCGATTTTCAATCCAACTACATGTCCATTTGAGGATAAAAAAAACTAGAGGCACACATAAAACATAGTAGAAAATGCAGCACAGGAAAAGTCAACTGTATCATATGCATTTGACTTACATTTTACTGAATTTTAATGTATCTTGTTTATGTTTCTTGAATGAATTGATCTCAGACATCATGCATTGAGAACTCTAGAGATAACCAACTTATCCTTTAGGTAGATAGACAGATCTTCAAACGAGTTGAAAAGACAGTTCTGGATAAACATAAAAACGTCATGTTTCGTTTCAAGAAAGATTGAAAGCAACTCTTTCACACATGTTGGTCAAGAACGAGACCTAGAACTCAATGTTCTCTTCCTCTCGCTACCAACATAAACACCAGCTGTATATCTTGAATTTGCAAGTTCCCGGGGTATCGGTGCTCCTGCAGTCTTCAGAACCTGAACAAGCTCTTTGAAAATCCTTCTATCCTCCTCATTCACAAACACAACAGCCATACCCTCCTCACCCATCCGAGATGCCCTTCCAACTTGGTGAATATATTCATCGATGGAATTTGGTATGTCAAACAATATCACTTGACGTACTTTTAGGAGATCCATTCCACGCCCCAGGACACCAGTAGAAACAACGACAGATACTTCTCCTGTCAAAAACCTTCTCAAATTCTCTCTTCTCACTTTCATCGTCTTCTCGCCATGGATAGAAACGACCTCTAATCCAGTAGCAACAGTAATTGCTTCAGACAACAGATCAGCTCCGACTCTGGAACTCACAAACACAACAGCAGGAGGTTTAAAATGTTGCTTGCTTTTCATTATCTCAAAAACCTTCTCTTCTTCTTAGACTCCACCCAAATGACCACTTATTTAACTGATTTGGTTGGTCTGTTTGGGTTGCCACAAGAGATACTTATCACATTCTTAGCCAGTGAGTTAGACATCTTCTCAACTTCCGAATGTAATGTTGCTGAAAACATCATAACCTGTGGGTGTGAAAGTGACTGAAAAATCTGCATGGCCTGATCCCTGAATCCCCTCTCCAGCTAGCAGTCCACCTCATCCAAAACGAATACAGAAACATAGGTAAGGTCAACATTGTGTTTCATGAGAAGATCAATTAGCCTCCCAGGGGTGCCAACAATTAACTCAATACCATTTTCAATTCTGTAAATTTGCTGAGGCAATGGATCTCCACCGACAACTAGAGCAGTTTTGAAAGGCAAACCTTTACCAAGCACTTTTGCTTGCTCTTCTACCTGCAGGCGTAGCTCTCTAGTTGGAGCAAGAACTATAGCCAACGGTCCTTGATTGCTTGCGCATTCTTGTGATCTTACTCGTGAACAATGAGCAATTATGGGAATGAGAAAAGATGCAGTTTTCCCTGAACCAGTCTCAGCAGAAACAAGTAAGCTTCTATTACTCATTGATGCAGGGATAACTTGCATCTGCACTGGAGTAAGCATACAATATCCCGCAGTCTCAAGATTGTGCACAAGCTTCTCAGGAAGACCACAGGCAGAGAAACACATGATTGGATCAGGAACAGCATCACCCTTGACACAAATGTCAAGTTTACTCCTCAGTGAACTGATCCAGCTGTCAGCTAAAGTAGGTATATTTGGAAAATTAATGTCCTTAATACAGAAGCTCTCATCACCCAAAGGAAGGTTCACACGCTTTGCTGCTTTTACTACTGGCTTTGTTTTAGCAGCGATCCGAGCAAGAAGAATTGTCTTGCATTCCACACTGCAGATGTCATCATCAGTCTGATCACATATATTCACCATATCGGCCACACACAACACAGCGAGGCTCCCCAGGAAGAGCTTCTCTCTGCTCAAAGCATCTTTCCTTCACAGGTAAATCTGCAAGTAACATATATATGAGGGAAAAGACATTGATATCTGATCGAAATGCACGGAATAGACATAAGACCTGCATAAGTAGCAGCCAAAAAAACATAACAAAATGGCCATCAGCTAAAACAGTGAGCTAGCTGGGACAGGAGATTTCATTATTTGGTCTTTGGCCTGCTAATTACTGAACATCAAGTCAAGAAGGAAGTTGCAGCTTTACTACATAGTTTTAAGGACCATAAATAGATCTCTGTAAACTGTAAACAAATATTTAGTGCCATGCATTTTTCTTTGTTGTAGAGTTTTTCCTTCATCTCGTTTCTGTGTAATACATGTGTTCACAATGATGTGGGATTTCGAGAAACGTGCAGCAACCAATCCAGTACAATTACCTTCCAACTCATTATTATCCGATGATGAAACAAGATTATCAGCTGATTGGTTCTCCCCTTGCTCCATTCAGTCCAGGAAGGAAAAAAAGCACCAGTCAACTGCACAGAGGAAAGGGATATACGATAGCTCAGACACCTCAAACATTAACCCAACCAATATTTAGGAAGCGGCTAAATGTTAGATCATATTTCCAAGAGAAACATGAAATTTCGACAGGGGTTCAACTGCTGTCTATAATCTGTACTGTACGAGTGGAATACGGGTTTAAGTTAAAGCACACAGCTTGTTAACCCGCAACTCGTGGGTCGCAACGCCGCCCACCTCGCACGGTCACGGTCAAAGCGCCCACGGTTCGAGCCTTTATCGCCCCTAGGATTTGGAAGTTTAGGGCGGAGGCACCGGGGGCGGCAAGCGGCTCCTGCTTGCCCGCGAGGCCACACACACCGACCTCGCCCGTCGGCTGCGATTTCCCGCAAAGGGCGCTGCCGACAACTCCGCTTCAACCAGGCAGAGAGGTAGGCTCGTCACTGCAACGCCTCGCGGCTCCGGAATCCGGATCACGGTGCGGCGGCCGGCGAAGAAGGTGCTGCGGGTGAAACGGCGAGATTTTTTTTTTCAATTGCGAAACGGCGAGAATTGAGAACAGAAAGCACGCGCGTCCTGGTCTGCGGCGTGCGTGCGGGTGTGAGATACCACGACGAGGGGTGGTGGGCCTGTTTGTTTCGAAGGCCGTATGGACGGAAGTGGACTGTACCTGATGGGCCTTTTGTCGCTGTTGCAGTGTGGATCGGGCATTGCTTGTCTACAGGTCGGACTATTTGGGCTTGTGTTCTATTTTTCGTGGGCCAAGTGAGTTCAAGTGAAATGTTTTCGGTTTCTCTCCTATTTTTTTTCTCCTTTTTCTTTATTATGACTATAACTGAGTACATTACACCATGAGAAATAGTTTCACAATATTACAATTCGTATATTGTTAACTATACATATTTATAGTAATCGATAGTCGAAGATATAAATGTTTGAATTAGAATAAAACTAGAACTACAAACTTTATGAAACGGGAAAGTACTATATTTGCATGAATGTACCTATTCCAGGTCAATATATTTGTGTGATCTAACATTATGTCCCGGTTTTTAGCTGAAGGGGGAAAAAGATTAAAGGTATTAAGGTATGATGTGATGTGAATATACCAAAATGATAGTGTGGTACACCAGGACCGAAGATGGTCGCCAGATATGGTCGCGAAGGATGGAATGAAATGGAGTGTGGCGAAGTTAAAATTAAAATGTAAAACCAAATTAGTCCGTACCACATCGTCGTCTCTCCCAGCTCCCTAGACTTGGTACCTACTGTCATGGCCACCTCAGATGCAAAGTCACGTAAATCACAGTGGTGTTGGTGCAGCAACGAAGGGGAACAATCTATGGGTCAACAACTTTTTGTCAAACACTTATTGGCCTGTTCGCTTCGCCGAAAAAACAAGTCGAAACACTGTTCTGGCTGATTTGTTGTGAGAGAAAAATACTATTCCGGCTGAAAAACCAAGCTGAAAAAGACGGATTATAAGAAAAGCGAACAGAGCCATATTTCCAAAACACCTTCATTTCTTCTTCTCTCATAAAGACATGAGTTGAGATGAAGCTGAAAAAATAGCTTATCCCTTCTTTCTCCCAGTCTCCCTCATGAGCTGTTGCTGAAGCTTTTTGCCAAATATTTTTTTCAAAACAATTCAGCCTCACTAAAAAAGAAACTGCTTGTAAAGAAGTTTTCCAAAAAAAAAAAAAAAACAGATTCACTAGTGCAGCTGATCTGTGGTAAACATGTCTTATATCTTTTCTAAAGCTAATCCTAACTACAAGTCTATCTTAACATGCAAGCCATTCACATCATGACCCACTAATTATTCACATCATTTTCCACTAATAATCATGCCATTGAAATCCTACTAACTTCAAAAGCTCATAATGCAAGCTATCTATGTTATATTCATTTAATTTTATTTTAAAATTTTTGTAATCTCCGTAGCAACGCACAAAATATGTTCTAGTTATAAGGTATATGTGTGATGGTCCAAACCATGAAGAAAATGCAAGAGCATTTGTGTACGCTGCCGTGTGAAGCTCTGCGTTTTAGCCAAATCGAAAACTCCAGCTACGGGAGCGGTAGAGGCTCTGCGTTTTAGCCAAATCGAAAACTCCAGCTTAGCCCCGGATTTGAATTTACTCTTTCAGGAATTTAAGTTTTCTTTTATCAGTAGAAGTTGTAATAGGGTAGCTCATTGCAAAACAGGTTACGAGTGAGACACAGGTCGGGTGATGGCAGCAAACCCCGGCACGTGCTTCATCACTCCTAATCTCTGATTGTAATCCCGGCACCTAACAGTGAATGAATCCCTATTGTCGCAATAACTCCAGCCAGCTCTGCGTGGCTGCGTTTTAGCCAAATCGAAACCGCAGAGCCGTAGAGCTCGTGGGTCTATTCGGCTGATATTAAAGTCGGTTGATAAGCTGGCTGAAGCTATTTTATTATTAGAGAAAAATATTGTAAGTTCTAGTTGATAAATCGACCGATAAATCGAACATGCCTCGTTCGTTTCGCAAGGACTCAAAGTTCTCATGAGAATATGCAACGATTCAACGAACAAGGTAGGTGCCGCCGGCTGGCTGGCTGGCTATCAACATCAACGATCCCTCTCCTTGGGAGGCCACGTTCGCGGTCAGGTTCGCGGTCCCGTCCCGGTTGTTTGCTTCACGGATCGAAACAGCTGCGCGGTTGGCCGGGATGACAAAACCGAATGGCAGATCATTTCTTTGCGCGATCATTTGTTGTGCCGCAGAGATAGGCGTGCGATATGGCGGATGCAACAACGCAGTGGCAGTATCAATCAATGTATCATCGTGTGACAGTGTGACCCGATACTATCGCTTAACCGTTCATTAAAATTCTACTACACATCACAGTTTGAATCACTTAAGAAAAATGAAAATGAGATCCGATAAGTCCTTGAGCATTTTGGCATCTCCGTCCCTTTACGATTACGAAAGAAGATTCATAAAAACTCCTCTTGTCTAAGTCATCCGTAGGGTGAGAAAAAAGAGGAAATAAATTCTATGTGACACCGTCACACAACACCTTATGGACGACATCCTATGATTGCACAACATATGTCTCTAGGTCCCACCAGGCAAGCAACCACATGTGGCGTGCGGTTGAGCCGAGCCTGTATTTTCCATGAACCAGTAAATCCAAACTAACATATAGGGTACATGTTACACGATGAGAGGATGTCGCATGTGGGTGCTGTGCGACAATGTCGTATAGAATTTATTTTCAAAAAAAGTGAGAGTCTTAAGGACCTCCTAAGGTCAAAAGAGTTAGGACCAAACCTCAAGCTTGAGGTCTCTCCTTAATGCTTAAAAAAATTAGAGGTGTGGAAGAAAGAGGTGCCTAAACTCATGTCAGAGCTCCGTTGCGGCTAACGGCGATGCCATGGCCGCCACATGCACGGTGACCTAGCTAGTTGGAGTAGAGTAGAGTAGGTAAACAAGAGCGACAACAGGGCGCGTGGCCTTGTGCGGGTGGACACAACTCTTGCACCAGCAGATCTCGCTCTAGCGGTGGCGAAAGAGGGTAGGGGCGGTGGGGGCCGGTCAAGAGAGGGCTGGGACAATAACGAGGAGAGAAGGCTACGCTGAGGATACGAGAAGAGAAGAAAAGAGGATACTAGAATTTTTATGTGTAATATATATGTGGGTCCTGTCGACCTACACGACTTTTTGTTATAATGGAGAAAGATCTCTTCACATATAGGTCACAACTTAAGATTAAGGTTGGCCACACACATCACGGGATACTCTAAAAGATGTCTGGAATTTGTAAGTGTATAGAAGAAACACATGCGAAATAATTGTGTGTTGCATGTGTGTACCACATAGCACAAAGCATGTGTCATTTTTTTAGCGTGAGAGATCATTTAGGGCTCAACTGTTTTACTTGGCAAGTGGGACTACATAATTTGTCGTTTTTATATATAAAGATTGCACGGATTGACACTGTGCATGTACTTTTCAGCACATCCGACACAAAAGTGGACTCACTTGACCTAAGTGACTGACTAAAGTATCCAGGAAAGTTGACTCTATCTAGCCCACTTTTTCGCCGAGATCTCGAACACGCTAAGAGCACAAGAACTTGTGAGAACTATGAACATAATCCCATATTCCCTTTTTAAGGAACCTTTGAGGGCCCCACCAAATTGCCCCTTTCATACCACGAACATCATTATCTCGACAAGCAAGAGGTTACGTCTCAAGTCAACTTGACCAGTGGAGACCTTGACTCACGTGGGCTCCTGCGCCGTGGCGCCGGGCTGTCGGTTCGCCGCGGCCGGAGTTGTACGTAGGACGCCGCGGCCGGGCCAACAACAGTAAGCATCCAGAGAAGAAAATTGCTGACCGGACGCGTCAGATGAGTGGTGATCGGACGCTGGTGAGAGTCCGGTCTCTGATGACTGTGCTAGCATCATGTAGCCATTG